TAGGTTATTTTATTAATATTTTTAAAATTATTTTTATTTAGTCCTATTAGGTACATAGATAATTTAGGTGTTTTTAAAAAAATGTTTTTTGGCAAAGATAATGCGTCATGGTGGAGAAAAAACGTGGAATTACCACTATGACGAATACGTTTTCCCACTCTCCATTTTTCTTAGTATTATTATTACTATTATTATTGTAATTATTATTATTATCATTATTATTATTATAGAAAAGTTAAAAAAAAATATTTTTGCAAATTAAAAAAAAAGTTAGCTACTGATACTATTCTTTTAGTTTATATTTAAGAAAGATATTTATTAATATGATTCTTTTGGCTCTGTATAAATATTGTATTAAACGAAATAGTTATTTTTAAATAAACACACTAAAATTTCGAAGCTTTTTTATTCACAGGATAATATTAAGTTGCTAAGATTTTAAAAAAAAAGTAATTATATATTTCTAATGATAATGAACATTTACCGAAATAATCATATGGAGACAGTTTTATTTGTTTGAAAATACTAATTTGACTCCCTTTCAACTGAAAGCACACAAGTGTACAAGAAATATGCACACATTAATGTCATTTTAGAAAGGTAATTATTTTTATTTCAATTTTATAGAGCGAAATTCAGCATGTTTCAGTGCTTATTACTATAAAAATACGTAGTACTAAATCTGCATATTAAAAATAAATGTTTTAAAATCAAATAAGACTTACTTAATTATGAAAAATGTAGTTTAATTTAAAAAATAAAGCTTCCTGGCCATATGAAAATAAGATCAATTTTCAAGAAATCGCTTTGTTTTATTAAATACTGTAAAAGATATATCATATGTAAAAGATATATCATATGTAAAAGATATATCATATGTAAAAGATATATCACAAAACACCAATGGAAGGAGTGAAATGCCGAGCACAAAAAAAAGCATTCTAAGTCAAATTTAACAAACATATAAGAAAGCCATACAAGAATAAAAATGTACGTTACGTTGGTGAAACATCAATCAAGTAGATAGAAAATATTCAAGCGTCATGCTGATCCATCTAGAGTTTAACGCGATCTTGCTGAGTTTTTGGTCATAATTAGAGTTTATACCTCATTATTTTTAATTATAGTATGCCAGGAAAACATTGTATAATTTTGAGTTTTTTTAATTTTTATTAATTAAATCTTTCAAAAAACTAGTTGGTATAAGTTTTTTTTTTCATTTCCAATGAGCTGCACAATCAGTCTTCCCGATGAGTAGACTTAGTGTGTTCTCCAGAAGTGGTATCCACTCTTTCAGGACCACCACAATGGGTAAGATACCGTTAGCCATGTTAATTTGGACGTCTAGTTTCTGCCACACTAGATGGCAGCACCGAGACTCTATTTGGATGCTAAAGTGCACTAGGAATTTTAATTTTTTATGTTGGTATAAGGTGGAAACGTTGAAATGCATCTTCTTTCTTAATCAAACTTAATCGTTAAAGGCGTGCAGGAGGAGAATAAAAATTTTGCTACCACAAATATAATTTGTTTTTACGCATAATTATCACGAATCAATGCCTCGGCAAATAAATGGATTAGTTTATCCGAGTCGTGGTGGCTCAGAGGATAGAGCATGCGCCTTCCAATGAGGTGAACCGGGTTCAAACAGAAGCGATGGCAGGTCGATTCGCACCCGGATCGCTCCGACCACTATGCTGACGTAAAAATATCCAGGGTTGTAGACAGATCAAGGTTTACAGTCATTTTGCCGCCAGGCTAATCGTGGGAGGTGTTCGTGGTTTTCCTCTTCATATAACGCAGATGCGGGTTAGTTCCACCAAAAAGTAAATTTCTTCCTACACTTGATCCAGAAGCTCCCTTGTCTTCTGGAATGGGTCCACTATTACAAGGCTATGGAGTCGAACATTGATAGTCGCAAACTCTGAATCGGGCCAGTATTCGGAGCCGGTTATAAAATATAAAATAATGTGAGAACCTTTGTGGCTCAGGGAATAGAGCACTCGCTTCCCATTGAGCTGACTCGAGTTTCTGGTCGTTGCGATTCTATGATGTTGATTATTAGTAGTCATAAACCAAAAATTGGATCAGCTGCTCAATGATGGTTATAACATAAAACATAAAACCAATTATATGCAAACCCCTAAATAAGCAAATCAGTAAGACTGCTGTAAAGAATAATCAGAGTGGTGAGGAAATCAGTGTACAAAAATATTTAAATGTGAGAATACGTGAATAACTGAATTTATGAATTTGTTAATTAAAGAGAAAATAGATCAGTAAATAGATAATAATCGACTCAATAAAAAGCAAATGAGTAGGAAAATAAAGAAATGAATTTGTGAATCAATAAATAAGAGCACCCTTTTCTGAATGAACCAGAACCATAGTGTAAGAGAATCAGAAATCAAACAAAATGGGAATCAATGAATCTTGGTAGCAGTGGTTCAGTGAATTAATAAATCAGCATAAGGAAACGAAAGAACCACTGCCAATAAGCAAATCAAAAAACCACTGATCCATTGATTTGCTATTTCAGTGTCTTACTTATTCAATTCATTCTTGAATTCAGACTTTATTCATATAAATTATTCATTTGTTTATTTTATCTTTATAACTTATGGTTTTTATCATTCTATGACTTACTGCCAACCATTTTAGTTTTACTCTTTTATTAACTGTTGCACGTTGTCTAAAAACAGGGTTTATGTATTTTTGGTTTCATGTATTTTGATAAGACGGTTAAGCATCTAGATATACTTTAATAACTAATTTATATTGATTCGAGAGTTTACTATGCGAAAGGATATCACTTAAAATAGTCTTTTCTGTAACACCTAGATATTATGAGCTTGCGTGAGGCAGACTAGTTAATATACAAATATTTAAATTGTGTTAAATTAAGTTTTGAACCACATCTCATTATATATTTAACTCTTTATTTCTTTCCTGTTTAAAGATACAATGTTAGTGACAGCAATAACTTATTACTATATTGAAATGTTCTAAATTCACAGGAAATATCACAACAATGAAATAATTCTAACCGAAATAATTACTTCGCACATTCAAAGAATCATAGTTATTTTTCAATTTCCTATTCTCTTATTAAACAATAAACCTCGCTTTTTATCATATTGTAAGTGGTTCATACAAACATAAGCTTTTAAAAAAATTAAAATTTTATGCGTAATTTTTTCAATTATAAAAAGTTTTAAAAATGGTAGAAAACCATTTTGCTTCCACAATCTTTTCCAAAGAAATAATTCATAAATAAAATCACTCGCATTGAATAACCACAAACAAAAAATTATTCAGATGATGTGTATTATGTACTTAAATTACTTGAGAAAAAAAATACTGGAATTTTAACTTACTGGAAGCTGGAATTTTTACTACATAAAAAACTTGCGTTACCTTATATAAAATACTGCATGCCATTAGTCTAAAACAGATAGATAATATGTTTTAAATAAAAAAATGTCATATGTTTCCCCCATGTAGTGTGTTAAAAAATGAACACAGTCATGCATTGAACTTAAAACCTGTACAATAATATGGTAATAAAGAGAAAAATCCTGTATACGGAGTACTGTTTTAGCTAATTCACATGAAGCTTGCTTATAATCAATAGGGGACAACGGTAAAGTAGAAATTGTAGAACACACACACACACACACACACATATATATATATATATATANTATATATTGTATATAATATCAAAAATAATAATGCAGCCCAGCATTAACACTTTTAATTTTTCCTACCACAGTGCATTGCTTACATCTGTTTTATTTTTCCAAATGAATATTTTTTTCTAAAAACATAAATTCTAGTACTATCGCAATTTATCAGAATATAAAACTCACTCAATAATCATAGTACAAATAATACATACTAGAATTATTATAATACAGACTATAATTTATGGCCGTAATACTTTTCTTTAAACCCTTGCACGAAAAAAATATGTGGTAAAATTTTCGTAGTGTAAAGTAATGCCTTTTTTTTTTTTTAATTATAACTCGACATTTGAACCATTAATTTAGTAATTTTTTCTGTTCATATGATAACGGTTAACCGGAAATTCTTGTTATATGTGGATATTATATTTCTTATTTTCTCATATTTAGTAAGAAATGCACAACTGAAACGTAAATGTAACAGAATATATGGTTTGTATGCCCTGCTCTACTGTATCTAGATAAAATTACCACATTTAAAAATGTTATCTCATATTATAAAGTTTTATATTATTGTTAATTTCACAAAAGTCATTATCAAAGAGCTTCAGTAAAAATTGCCTATCTTCTCAGCGCTCCCATAGAGTTAGAAACACGTTAACTTTGAGAATATTCTGGTAATTTGCAATCCCGTTCATAAATATTGTGAAAAGTCCAATTTTTCATGTTAAAACAACTTTTTATTAATTTCAGAATAAAATATACTATTATCTATGCATTAAGATTCATGATGCTATATACTCTTATTTAACGTGATGTTATTTTTTTCTATAAACCATCATGGCACATTTTAAAATGTTAATTTAGTAAGTATAATTGAAGTTTTTTTTTTCATGTTTATTGTTTCTTTTTTGTCTTATCTTTACAAGTACCATTGCAAATAAAGTATTTAAGCAAATATTTATTTCAGCATGTGCGTTATACACCCATATTTATTTAATTCCATGAAAAGATTTTTTAAATGAGAATTTAATATACACAAAGAAATTTAATAACCCTTTACTTCATAATAATTAAGTTCTTTATCAAATTATTTAAATTTTCGTTCCATTGATGAGTATTTTCATTTAGTTTCAAAATACAGATTATCATGCAAAATGCTCATTCGATCTATGATCCCAAACTCTCTTCAATAAATATGTACATTTTTTTTAAATTAGTGAAATAATACACAATTGGTAGATATAACAAAACATCTGTATTTCCATCAAAATTTTCGATTGATGAAGTAACATACTATGAGTTTCTACTTACCCTTTCCAGAAGAAAAGTCAAAACAAAATACTGTCACAACTACTAAATAAATTAGTCCTTCTCTCATATCTGCAAGTTTTAGTCCATTAAACTTGAGATCAATTTCCTCAACAGCAATATACAATATCCATTTTAAAAATAAGCAAAAATAATCTGTAATCGTATTTGCAATTTTCCTGATACACTGCCAAACTACTCATCGCATAGACAAATCAATAAAAAATTAATTCAAAATGAATTTTTGAAACAAAAAAATTAATATTTATTATTCAAGATTACTCCGTCAAAAATATTAAAAGATTCCATAAAAGTAAAAACCACTTTTCTCACAAAGTCTCAGAAAAAAACTAGGTTTTAAAAAAAGAAAGCGATTAAAAGTTTTTGCGGGGTTCAGTTTTCTGAATAGTTCATAATTCATTGCATTGATTTCTTTCCAAGTAGTGGCAACCGTTCTTTTCTTCGAAAAGTAACTGAATAGATCCTGCTAAAGCAAAGAGATGCTAATGCCACGAGTTAGGTTGAAAGACTGAATTCAGAGGATAAAAGGATTTTAGCGTATGCAGCGCCTCCATCGGTGGACAGGTGCTGTATACTTGTATAAAATGGACGTGAAAATCATTGTTCTTCTGCTTAAGAGTTATTTTCTCTCAAACATGAGAATGAGAGCAATTCATTTAGATTATGGTGAAGTCGCATTTCTATTTACTTTGTGAGAGTTTTATGTTCTTATAAATTATGATTGAAAACATAAATAAATTGGTTTTAGTTTATGGTGTGTGTATATAATAATTTATTACATTTCTTAAAAATTCCTTACACCCCTAAAATGTAATAAATAATTAGTTTTAGGGGATGGAACATTTTAGTTAAATAGTTTATCAACGCCCAGATTTGTTTGGAATATTTACAATCTATTATAAACACATAGGAAGCAAACAATAATAAATATATAATTTTTAAATAAGTAAATAATCAGTATAATTACAGAATAATAAATAATTATTACATTTGGTATAGTAAAATTAAGTTAAATTAGCACAATTTGTATGATAACAAGTATATAATTAGTATAATAAATAATTATTAGAGTTAGTGTTGTAAAATTTAATGAAATAGTAAGCAATACTTGTATAATAATAGGAATATAAATATAAAAATAAATAATTAATACATATAGCATATAAAATTTATTTAAATAGTGGGTATAATTTGTATATAATTAGAAAATTATATACCTTTAGTATTGTAAAAAGTCAAATAATTAGTAAAATTTGAATAAAAATAAGTATAGAATAATCTATGGTTAGTACAGTTAGCCTTATAAAATTAAATTGAACACTTAGTATGTATAGAATTAAATAAGAGTGTACCAATCAAATTGTTTAACAAATAATACTTGTTTAACTGAAATAGATATTTTTATATTAGATTTCAAACTTGTTTTTAAACTGTTTAAATTTGGTTTTAGATAATATGTATTTAATTAAAATCAAGACGTTAAGGTATATTTTTTTTCTTAATTTGTGATATGTATGGTTTATTTATGAAACATCATGTACGAAAACAATATATACGATTAAAAAAACGATGTAATCACATAAGATTTACAAGACATAACTCAATATTTGCACACTTACTATGCTACATAAAGCAGTTACTAAACATTACTAAATAAAGTTAATTATTAAGAACTTAGGGTTCAAAATTTAAAAATTTAGAGTTGCTAGTTGTCGGTAGAATTATATTCTGGACAATACTCAAATTTGAAGAAAAATTTCGTAAAAAAAATTGACTTTTTTTCTCTATTGGATCCAAATAAATTCGTAAAATTATGTCTCCCATTTACATAAATCATTTTTAAAATATTTTTTTATTAGATTTCATTCGTTTTTTAATTAGCTTTTCTTAACTGTTAAATTAGCTAAAAGCGGAAAGGGAACAATAAAGAATACAACAAAAGATATGAAAATATTTCGCTGATTTATGCAATGTGCTTTTTTTTTCTTTTTACAAATGCTTATTTATAAAGAATATTGGTAGAAAAAATTGACAAATTACTATTTCAATGTGCAATCATGTACTATTTCAATGTTTGGGAATCAATAAATTGAATATATATTCATAAATACAAACAGAACTATAAGAATATAGTGAAAAAGAAGAGGGCCTTAACAGCAATGTATCAGATTTAGACGAAACTTGGAGTTGCAGCAGTTACCTTGATGCTTCATAAAATAGTATCTGTTTTAAAAAGAAGTGCAAAAATATTTTCCAGCATAACGGACTAGATACAATCAACAGAAATGTTTTTAGCGCATTCGAAATCAAAATCAAACAATGATTAAGGACTTTTACTTTTAAATTAATATTATACTTTACAAAGCAAATAAAAATGTCTTTCGCATTGTATACACTTTAATGAAGGATTTAATCTAGTAATAAGAAATATATATAATTATATCCTTTATTGTCCTTTGTAAATTTCATATTGTTTAATTTCTTAAATGTTATAAAACTGCAATCATCTTCTTTTATGAAACTCTGTAAAAGCTTTCGTAAGGCTGTACATTACATAAAACAAATATTTTTTGACACCAATTAATTTAGTTTTAGGAACAATTTAAGTATTACACTCGAAAAACTTTACATAAGAGTCCGAGACATCAACTAAAAAAATTAATATCTCCTCAAAAATACTGAGCCTTAAGGACAAGTTGATGATTGTATAGCTTACTTATGTTTAAAGCATTTCCTTAAAAATAGAGAATTTCCTGATAGTACAATGTAACTCACGATTGATTTCCAATTTCCAAGTACTTCAACAGTTTTCTCAAACTAATTACTATCGCAACTTCAGTTTTACTTTACAGAAAATCATGGTACTTACATGAATACTAAGTTTAAGCCTTCACGCCGGTCCAAAATTTAAAGGAAAATGACTATCATAAATAAGCGTTCTGGTTCGGTTTTGTAGAACTCTATTAGCAGGTTGTACTTTCAGCTAAGCTTCGTGGATAACACGCTTCATGAGTTATTCAACATATGGTAAAGTAATTTTCGCTATCACTACTTACAAACTGGTGATATTTCTCTCAACTTATCTTCCTTTGATTTTTAATGAATAAATCTTAGACGTTTAGTGTTGTATTTTTAAAGCATGTTTCAAGTAAAAACACAAACATAGCGATTATTCTTTGACAAACCGCTCAAAGCATCATAAATATTCCGTTATTGTAAATTTTTATTCAAGAACTCTGTCTTCAGTTATGTATTTCTATAACCTTCAGCTTACTTTAATTTCAAATTTCTCTACTTCTTAAGTTTTTAATTAAATTCTTTTGTAACTCTACTTAAAATTTAAAAAAAACAATCAATTTTAATTATTTTTTTTTAACTTCAAATTTATGTTAACGTTTTAGGTTAAGCGTTAAGTATTTATTTAAAACAGTTATACGTAAAGTATTTGCTTAGATAAATTTGGTTGGGTTCTCTTGAGTAATAATTTAAGTATGGTTAAATAATTAGTTATACGTGAGGTATTTAGAATAATTTTGTATTTTTATAGAAACAAAAAGGTTAGTGGCGAGGCTTAGCCAATTATTTAGCTTTAATTTTGATCATTTCCAAAATGGCTGTAGAAGTTTTAAACAATAACGGCGCTATGGTTCCGCGCACTTTCATGCTATTTAGTGGTGACCGAGCTTACCTTTTTTGAGCTATGGTATAAATAGCACACGATACGCAGTTATGACTCAAGAGATGCGTGATGGATACAGCACTAAATAAAGCAAGATACAGAAAGAGATACAGCACAAAGGCACAGCAGTAGTGGAGTATTAGGTTTAGTTCTCTGTATATTATCTCATGACAAAGATGCTAATAATAATAATCGTTTACTAGTAGGATACAGAAGCATGTCTAATGTGGTTTTTGTGAACTAATAGCTTTCGGTCAAATTTATTCTTTTGTATTTAAGATTTGTCAAAACGGAGTGCTATATAAGAAATTTAGTGAAGGGGAAAGTCTCGTATCTGGATTACGTTTTACTAATTTGCCTGAGTTTTTAATAAATATTTTGACGTTTACCAACGCTTCGAAAACGAGTTTATTCCAGTGCTTGCGTCACTAATTGATATCACTCCTTTTTCCGTATAAACTGTTGAAAGACGAAAATACTGTCTATCTGGAACTGACGCAATAAAGAAAAAACAGCTGAAAGATTCCATCATCAAATTTAAGCAACGTAAGTCAGCAGCTCATTATATTGCTGTCATAACTGATCAGCGAAAAATAAAAGAACCTCATAATAATGCAGTCATGAATTTCATTAAAATAATCCAGCTGTTCAACGCATTACAGCTGGCTTAGACATGACTTACAACGGTCATGACGCTGCAGTGGCTAAATACCACGAAAATAATAGAAAGTTTCATGGAGAAGTTGTTTCTACGTATGAAAATAAATGCACTGTTAACTTATTTTGGCAGCCCGATGCAAACTTGCAAATTTTTTTACTAAGTACTGTCTTAAAAAATGTCTTTAAACATCATTCTTCTATAACTTTCTAAAATTACCATATTTTAAATATAAAAACATTAAAAAAATCAGCAAATGATTAAAGATACATTTGACGAAAGGTAACTATTGTTTTATTTTTTATAAAATTTACAAAACAATTTTGAATCTTCTAGAAATTAATCAGAAAGAAGCGGTTGAGTATTATTATCTAGTTAATAAATATCTATCTCTATTGCAGAGCTTTTGCTTTTCTCTTTGAAAAGCGTAGCAATATTAAAGCTAATTTTAAGAAAATTAAATTTTGTTCCACTGACAGAAACTTCAAAAATAAACTCTAATTCGAATTTATAATCATACCTTGTTTGCTTAATATTGTACAATATGTAACAGTAGAATCAATACCTACGTATACATACAAACGAATCAATACATAAAGACTTTGAGTTTTATCATTTCTTTGAATAAAGAACTGGATATATCGTTTTTATTCATAAAAAATAAAGCTGAATATCTTTCTCATATGCATAAAAAATGTCAAAGAAAGATGAATGGCTCGTATACATTTTTATAAGTAAAATATCTTCTTGCGGGACATGGATGTAAAGATATTTTAGCCGTCTCTCCCTTTGTAAATGAAACGAAAAAAGGGAAGTCAGTTCTGTATCTACTGTATATCAAACTGACAGTTGGCATGGATTACACCATATTTGCAAAACAAATGAAGCGATACGTGCTTTCACATAGGTAAAATAAATGGTGAAATAGATATGGGAAAAAGACGATTGGAAAAGCAAAGGAAACGAACGCCATCTATTCAAATGACTGATATGCAAAATGACATTGTTGTAAAATCTCGACTTTGAAGAAAAACCATGATATTACGATGAAGTAGAATACTGATATAAATTTCCAAAATTTTCATATCTTTCATTTTGACACTTTTTACATTGCCTTTTTTCCACGAGGAATGATGAAAAGAATGTTCATTAATAAAATTTGGAATA